TCGATTCGTGAGGCGTTCCCCGATGGACCGCCAAGATGTGATCTACGATATCGGGCCAGGGCCTCGGGTCTCGTGCCGCGATGTTTCGTCGCAATGYTGTCTTTATCACCCGATTTGCGTTTTCTACCAACCCGTCAGATTGTGACATGTGGGGCGCAGTGTTCCGAATGGCGACGRCATGTACGACTAGATTCCTTAAAACTTCCCCTTTGAACTCTACCCCATTGTCGGTCAGGATTTCCTCTGTGTCCTSATGCATTCCTAAAAACTGGTTGACGTATCCCGCAATTTCAGCCGCCTRTCGAGTACGACACGGATATGCCTCGATCAATTTCGAGAAGTKGTCTACAAATACCAGTAGGTTTGAATATTCRSAGTTATTAGGTCCAGGGGGTACCACAATATCAGTAGTATYCATGTTGACCCTTTRGAAAGGYCGTTCAACTATCGTCGGCACTATCGATCTTGGCGGCTGAATCGGCGCTTTGTCAGCAGCGCAGACTTGGCATTTCTAGACGATGAATTTCACATCATCGCGAATATTGGCTATGAAACACCCGCGGANCGGCTGAATCGGCGCTTTGTCAGCAGCGCAGACTTGGCATTTCTAGACGATGAATTTCACATCATCGCGAATATTGGCTATGAAACACCCGCGGACGCGTCCGCGGGTCCGATCTCAGATGGCGGACGACCTGGTCCACGCCGCGGACCCGATTTTACCAGAATTTTCCTAAATTAAATAATAGGTTAAAATATATATATATATGGGGTTGTAGGGAATTTTAATCCCTACAACAGAAAAATTCCCACGAGAAATGAAAGTTGAAAAAACATTTCATAAAAAAAAATCCTTCATATTTATAAATTATCATTCCAATGTTCGTCCAATTCTAAAATTCCCAGTTTCATTTGATAAGTTCCCGTCTAAATATGAGCTTTCCCTTCCAACTACATCTATTTGTCCAAGATGGAATAAAATTATGGACGAGTTTATGAAATGTTTTAATTAAATTTGCATTCTACTACAAAACATATCTTATAATTTAGATTCGATTAACCTATTTATGACTGAATGTCCTTACTTAGAATGACACTCCAATTAAAATATTTCATGAACTCATCCAGACTTTCATTCCATCTCTAACATGCAGTCCAAATAAGAAAAGATACCCTATTCTTGGAATGAAAGTTTGCGAGTAAGATGAAAATTTTTAAAATTGGAATGACGTTTTTTTAGATGGAATGAAAATTTGAAATCTAGATTGTAATTTGAAATTTTAATTCTGGAATTTTTTTCCGTTGTACAACCCCATATGTTTTTTTTTGGAATCCGACTTTGTTCAGGAGTTTTAAGAAATCAAAAACTAAATTCGATTTAAAGAAAATTCAAAAACAAAAAAATATAAAGAAAAGTCGGATTTTTTTTTTGTCATTTTTTATCATGAGATATATGGTCCCTGAGTTCACCTGTATTTTTTTAGAAATGAATTGCTGTTTTTTGCAGGGATATGAGGTGTTTTAAAAAAATGCAGATGCAAATTTTGAAAATAAATAAAGAAAAAACTTCAAAAAAGGGGTTTGATTGATTGGCTGATTGATTGATTGATTGATTGATTGTGAGTGAGTGAGTGTGTGTGTGTGTGTGTGTGTGTGTGTGTGTGTGTGTGTGTGTGAGTGTGTGTGTGTGTGTGTGTGTGCTGCCGCCGCTGCGCCCTCGCCGGCGAGCGGACAACGCACTTGTGAGAGAGTGAGTGTGCGTGTGTGTGTTTGTGTGTGTGCGGGCACATGGTG